ATTTACCTTCTTGTCACTTACTTAAGCCTTACCACTCAAGCAGTCCTTGCCAATGATCTCATTGAGTCTAGCAATTTTTTTCTCATTGCCTCCATGTTTGCAAGGTTAGTGGAGTAAGCATTCAAATCAATATTATAACATTTTCCACAATCTTGACTAGTGGAGGTAGTAGAGGCATCCTTTGCCTTAGAGGGATGTAAGTTGCTATCCCAAATAATGTTATATTGCAGATCAAGTTCTTTGTGCTTTTCATCTAAGTCACAATATTTTTTCTTGAGAGCAATATTTTCTTTCTTTGTGATAGCATGGTCCCCTTGTTCTTTGGCCAAGGCCTTGCGCAAGGATTCCACCTCACTTCTCTCTAATGCAAGAGCTTCCTTGCTAGCAATATAGAGATCCTCCTGTTGGATAAGAGTTTCCTCTCTAGATTCTAGCTCGGCTTGGACACTCTCTAAGTCCTCTATTAGTTTAGTGATGAATATATTTGGTCTTTCCATCTAAGTTCATAGTTAATTTATCAATTTCTTTATCACTAGATTCATCATCACTAGAGTTATCACTAATATCACTACTAGAGATATCACTAAGAGGTGGAGGTGGAGGAGCTTTGGCCTTGGATTTAGATTTTACCTTCTCACCCTTTGCCATAAGACAAATATGAGGGGAGTAGTAGTCATCATCGGACATGTTGGTGAAGAGTCTTGGTGAAGAAGATGGCTCATGGATAGCAATGGCTACAACTTTCTCATCTTGTTCACTTGAGCTTTTAATAGATGAATCCCATTCATGCCCAATGTGAGCTTCTCCCATGTTTTTATTGTTCTTTCTCCAATCGGCCTTGTCCTCCTTCTCTTTCTTATACTTGTTTTCCTTGATCTCATGTGGGCACTTGGTAATAAAATGATGGAAAATTTTGCTGTGGCACACTCCAGTTATGTGAAATTTGCTGTGGGACATTGGAATATTTTTTCTTTGCTGTGGGACACTAATTTCTTTGCTGTGGCACACCGCCCAGTGTATCTAGAGCAAAGAAAAAAAATACAGTGTCCCACAGCAATTTCACAAAATATTAGTGTCCTGTAGCAAAATCGGTGCTTCCACAATTGTAACATGTCCTCTTCTTCTTGTTTGGAAACTTCCTCTTTACTATCTTGTACCCTTGCTTCTTCAACCCTTTGTGAAACCTCCTCATAAAGAAAGCAACATCATCCACTTTCTCATATTGGTCATAATCATGTTCACTCTCACTAGAGGATGAGGTGGTCTCTACTCTTTCTTGAACTTGCTTGATTGCTTTGGGCTTGCTAATTGAAGCTTGCTTGTTGGTCTTGGACTTGCTAGTAGAGCCTTGCTTGCTTGATTTGTTGGCCTTGAGAGCTACATCCTTGTTGATCTTGATGCCTTCTAGCTTTGCTTGTAATTCTCCAAGCTTCTTCCTCTCATTTGCTTCTTCTCTTTGCATGTCAAAGGTCAAGATCCTCCCAAGTACATCATTTGGTGTGAAGTACTCAAACTTTTTCTTGTCTCTAATTAGAGTTACTACGGTCTCATTTCTTGATGAATAAGCTTCCAACATAATCTTAACAACTTTGTGATCATTTAGCTCATCACAACCATAGCCTCTAATCTTGCCCACCATGGTCATCAACCTATCAAACATCTCTTGTGTCCCTTCTCCATCCAAGATAACAAATCGGTTGAGCTTGGACATCAATAAATCAATTCTTGTCTTTCTCACTTTGTCAACTTCTTCATGTGCAAGATGCAAAGTATCCCAAATTTGCTTGGCTACAACCACACCAATTACTCTATTGTACTCATCACCATCCAAGGCACTAAGTAGCACACTAGTAGCTTGACTGTTGAGGTGGATGATTCTCATTTCTTCCATGGTTGGATTCTTGGGATCAACCGGTGGCTCAAATCCATTGCAAACAACCTCCCAAATGCCGGGATGAAGACCTATAAGATAGGCTCTCATCAAGTGCTTCCATTTGGCAAAGTTAGTCCCATCAAAATGAGGTAACTTGCCCGCGGGCACATTGATGAAAGACTTGCGATCATGGTTAGTCATAGACATAGAAGAATAGTTAAATGATACGGTGGTATATTTGTTGTCGTCATTCTTCTTGCCCTTTCCTTTCTTGTCCTTCTTGCTATGCACTTGGTAGAACTCATCATCATCACCATCTTCGGAGTTGCTAAATAGCACACTTGAAGATGCATTGGAAGCTTTTGCTTCTTGTTCCTTCTTCTTTCTTGCTTCTATTCTTTTTCTTCTAGCTTCTCTCTTGAGTCTTCTTTCTTCTTTTCTTGCTTTCTTCTCTTCTAACCGTTGCTGCTCCTTCTTCTTCTCTCTTGCTTTTCTTTTCTCTTTTCTAGCTGCCCTTCTTCTTCTTTCTTCTTTATTTTGAGTTTTTTCGGCATCGGTTGCCTCTAGCTGCGGGAGCATGGAGTTGCTCGCTGTAGAGGCGCTAAGCTCACTACTGTCGATGTCATGCGGCCCAACGTCCTCTGGATCGACATTGATGGGCTTCACAGCACTGGATCCCCCCCGGGCTCCAGACCTCACGCGGTGAAGCGCACACGAGGTAACCTGACTTTGATACCACTTGTAGGATCTCTGGTACGTCTAGAGGGGGATGAATAGGCCTGTAAAAATTCAACTTCAACCGAAGTCAAATTTATCTGTGGCACTGTAGCTCAGTGAGCGCGGCACTGCCGCACCTGCAGGAGAGATTAGTTCACAGTTCAAAATTTACCCAACGAAATTTAGATCGGATAAATTTCTTAGCTTCCTGCAGGGTAGTAGATCACGGATCGATAGCTGAAAATGGTGGGAACACCACACACAAGTAAATCGGCCTCAATCCTAGAAATCACCTCAACAACAACAAGAACACAAGTGTAGCAACACAAACACAAGATGACATAAGGATTTATCCCGTGGTTCAGCTCGCCACCAAAGCTTGCCTAAGTCCACGTTATTGAGGTATACCACTAAGGTTTAGGGCTGTGCAACCCTACCATGTTCTCAAGTCAAGAGAGTGAACTCTTGAGATGATGGGTGATTATACTTGCTATAAGAGGTGGTTACAAACCTCTCGGGGTTGCCATACAAGTTGACAAGCTCCACGGGCGACGCTCTAGTTGGCTAGGAGCCAAGCTCAAGAGTAACAAACACAACCGCTGGCTAAAACGTAAACCAAGTGCTCTTTAGAGTTTGGAAATCAATGGAGCTGCTCTCTAATCGAGTTTTGGACCCTTATCCCTCAAGGATTGATGGAGAAATCAATGGATTTGCTTGAGGGCTTAAGGTCAACAATAGAGTGAGAGAGAGAGAGAGAGCTCCTACTCTGTTTTGAGTGTTCTAAAGTGAGGAACAAGAAGCAGGTTGCTGTTGGGGAGGAAGAGGAAAGGTATATATACCCCCAGCCTTCAACGGTCACTTAAATCGTAGATAGCCATTGGGAGGAAAGGAAAATATATATATATATATACCCCTAGCACTCAACATACACCGCACCCAAGGGGGCGGGCGAGATAAAGCCCACGGCCTCGAGGTCGGGTGAGATAGAGCCCATGGCCTAGAGGTCGGGCGAGACGGAGCCCGCGACCTTGAGGTCGGGCGAGACGGAGCTCGCACCCAAGGTGTCGGGTAGGCCTCTCTTCAAGTGCGGCAGTGCCGTACCATGCAAGATAATAAGGGTAATAGTAAAGTGTAGACTGTCTTGGCTATGAATCTGAGGATGGATGTGGTTGTTTGAGCACTTGGTAGCACATATTAGCTTAAGCATTGTGTCTCATTGATAGTATGGCTTTTTCTATACTCAAATTCAATATATAAAAGAATTTAAACCTCCTTTGAGTTTGAAGCCATCTACATTTATAATTGGAGGCTCTTCCGTTTTGTGTAGCATCCTCAAATATAAATTCCTTGCTTGTCATTTGATAAATCTCATTTGTTCTCTAATTGATTGGTCATTATCACCAAAACCCATAATTAAAGCTTGATTGCACTTTCACCCATTCCAACGCACGGGCATTTTTTATAGTAAAATACTAAAATATGATACTATGCTAGAATTGCATTCTTTCTAATATGAAGGGAATATTTAAGTATTTAAGTTAAACCATTCGATACATCATTGAACCTACTTCACGAGAAACTTAGTTGGAGATATAAATGTTATTAATATTTTTCTTTAAACCTACTCAAATCCCTTTTTCCAAGTTTTGCTTTCATATATTTTTTATATAAAGTTGATTTAACTTAACATACTTTAATATAACACTGCTCTAAATTACACATGTGCATTGCTGTCGGTAAAAACTAGCAGAAAGATTGAAGTAAGCAGTAGAAAGGCTGAAGCATAACATGCATACTACAGACCACCGTGCACAATAGGAAGAGTGAAAAAGCTCTCCTTGATACACGTGCACGAGTGAAAAAGCTCTCCTTGATACACGTGCACAAGAGAAAAATTTCCACACGCGGGCTTGCAGCCAATGAATGCATGTTTGTTTCTTCGATGCTGGTGCTAGGACTCCTCTACCCTCTCTCTCTGCAGTTGCCAGACGGCTACACCAGCAAATCAGGTTGGCACCAGCAGAATTGGCGCCAAGCTCGGCGCCAAGATCCACGGCGCCTAGCTGGCGTCACGTCTACGTCACGCAAGCAGCCACATCAACGCCACGCAGAAAATAACTTTGACCTCGACGCCAATGTCTATGACGCCGAGACGTGTAATATCGGCGCCAATTGCTATGATGCCGAGTTCAGGGTCCAGATAATGAAAAGAAATCTCCAAGAATCTAAATGTGAATATCTTCCGAAAAAGGAGCTAAAAATAAAAATTTCGGCATCATAAACAATACCACCATCATCCTCGCGAGCCAGTCATATATAGGGGTTCCTTAATCCTTATTGCTCCCTAAGTACATATATAGTAAGAAGAACCCGCCTCTATATAATCGTGCCTCCATAATCCGTCAGTCACTCACACGGTGTAGGACTGCTGGATGGTCTCAATGTCCAAACCCTTCTGCTTCGCCACCGACTCCATCTTCCCCTTCAGGGTGCTCACTTCTCGCAACCTGCAACAAAATCACAACAAATAGGGCAAGTCAGGTTGAGACGCTCGAGAAATCTACAGTTGGACTAGATGGGGGTAATCCAGAAGCTCTGAAATAGCATGCATGTACCTCGCCATCTCAGCTCTCCTGCGGGCCTCTTCCGCTAGCTGGTTGAGTTCATTGAAGGTCGTCTTGTTCTCGAAGATGGATGCTTCTGGTGGCTGGAGTCCGTGGAGAGTCCTCTGAGCATGCGCCCACTTGCGCTCCCTTTCTTCCGTGCCGAAATTCTTCTTGCTTGTGAACGCAATCTGAATGTATATGCCAGCAAAACAGATCATTACACACATTTGGCAGGCAACAATCACAGATGAGTGCGCATTTGACAGTCAGAAAACTGAACGTTGGAAGTCAACAATCATTCTCTTATGGGTGTGTGTTCTTACCCTCTGCTCAATGACGAGATTCCATGCCCTCCCACTCAGCGCGTAACGGATGAGGAACTTGATGATATCCAGCGGGAAGTAGAAGACGAGGTTGTAGAGCCAGATGATGCCGGCCCAGCCCCATCCAATGCCCTTGATCGCAGCAAATGCCCAGTTGGCATATACAGCAATCAGAGTAGCAATCTGAAAACATGACACAATGTGAGCAACACGAAACGCAGAAAGACAACATGGCAGGTAAGGCATGAAACTGGATTCAGATGGACTCACCAGCTGCGCCACCAAGAAAGCAAAGACCAGCAAGAACCCAGGACGCTCCACAAATGACCAGCTGCGAGACCGTGTCACAAAGATAAGGGCCTGACTGATTGTGCTAACTTGAAGGTACACCGCAGAGGCAAGCTTCTGAAAATCATCCTGGGCAGTTTTCTCAAGGCTTTCGACATGGAACAGTCGCTGCAAATTAGCAACAATGACAAGGATGAACACACTGAATGATCCCTCAAAACTTTAATAATGCTTAACAAACTACAGGTCCATACCGGGAAGAAGTCAGTCTTGTACGCAGCCCAGAAGAAAATGACAGTCATCATGGCCAAATAACCACCCAGAACTATTCCAGTTGCAAAAATCTCAGCTAACTTCCAACTATCAGGTTGTGGAGATGGTTTTACTCTGTCCTTTGAGATAGTCATAATGGTACCTATCCATGTCAAGAGGTTGAAGTTGTTAGGTAACCTAATATGCTACTTACACTGACTAAAGGTGTGTAGATATGAACAGAACAAATTAACGATCAACTGCATGTTTTACTCTCATCATGAATTATAACCAACTAAAAGGAAGCTTACCGTCATTGAGGATGGCAATGATCAGGACCATAAATGGTGGGAAGTCAAACTTCCATATCAGAGCAAGAAGCATAAAACCAAGCTGTTACAACAAAAGTATCTAGGGGTCAGATGAACTATTTGTCTCATCAGTCAACCAAGCATTATTTTTCTAAAAATTAAGTACATGTACATACCACAATACGGATGGTAATTGATACAGCATAGATCTGCAAGCAAGAATAAACTTTGAAAATACTGCACACAATGGAACACTAAGAGACTGAAAAGGAAATGCAGAATTGACGTACTGTGTAATTCTTCATCCTTTGGAAAATTGCCCGACTCGTCAGCACAGCACTAATAATCACACTAAGTCCTGGTTCAGTTAGGACAATGTCAGAGGCACTACGAGCTGCGTCGGTGGAGTCTGCTACTGCAATACCAATATCAGCCTTCTTCAAAGCTGGGGCATCATTTACACCATCCCCAGTCATACCACATATATGTTTTCTTGCTTGCAAGCGTTTCACGATCTCATACTTGTGTTCTATCAAGCGATAATAAAAAAAATAGACATAAGTACAGCATATAGATGCTGAATAACTGTTGAGCCTATCAAACAAGAGTAATCAAAAGCAGGTAATCTGCATAGTTGTACCTGGAAAGACTCCAGCAAAGCCATCAGCCTTCTCGATCAATTCATCAATTGGTAAAGAAGCAATTGACTCATCCTTATTCTGTCCGAGTAAAGCAGATGAAGGGTACATATTAGTACCCATTCCCAAACGACGCGCTGTTTCCTTCCCAATAGCAAGCTGATCACCTAGGAGGGGGGGGATCGAGTCAGTACTACAGTACAGTATTTCAGTGGCACTAGCCAAATCTGCAAACATATTGCTATCTACAAGCTAGCAAGGAATCAGAGGATCAAACTTCAGGTTAGAGCAATCAACTCAAGGTGGACAGGGACGAATATGACAAACCTGTAATCATCTTGACATTGACACCAAGATGGAGTGCCCTTCTGATAGTTTCTGCACTATCATGGCGAGGGGGGTCGAAAAGTGGCAAGAGCCCAATGAATTGCCATGGTCCTCCAGGACTCTCTTTCCTACCATCTGGCACTTCCTGTACATGAATTTTCAGTCAAGTACAGCAGACCTTGTAGTTCAAGAGTGTAGCAATAATGCATGTCAAGGATCACAGACCTGGTAAGCTACACCAAGTGCTCGCAAACCACGTTCAGCAAATTTGTCAATCACAGCTCTGACCCTTTTTTCAATATCCAACTTGTTGTGTGCAAGATGAAGGATCTGTTCAACTTCCACTATTAATTAATTGAAATCATTGTGACAATTGTAGAGTTCCCAATATGTGCTTAGGAAAACAGTACCTGCTCTGGTGCTCCCTTGCTAACACGATGCATTCTTCCCTCACCATCAAGGTAGGTTAAAGCAGTTCTTTTGTCAGTTGGATTAAATGGCAGAAAATGAATCTCTCGAACACCAGCACGAGCCTTTTGTCAAACAAGCAGAAGAAAGAAAAATAGTTAGAGTAAAAGTAAAATTAACTGCAGCCTGCCCATCACAAACTCCTGAAGAATCTAAGTACCTCCTTTGGATCAGCCAGCATACCAACTATTGTGGCATCTATGGCATCCTGGTTTTCTGTACGAGAAGCTCTGGCAGCCATCAGAATCACTGTATCTTGGTCAACGCCTTTTTGGAAAACCTGATCCAGTTAACAATCAGGTTAGGCTGCAATGATCCATACACTGAAAGGCAGTTAAACTTCTAGTAACAACAGCCTACCTCTACAAGACTCTTGTCCACAGTCAACTTGTTCAAGGTTAGTGTCCCAGTCTTGTCACTGCAAAGAACATCCATGCCAGCCATTTCTTCAATTGCTGTCATTCTCTTAGTAATTGCTCCCTAAACCACCAAGCAAAACTTCAGTATTCGATTCCTATATTAGATCAAATGAGAAACAAAGATATTCCCTATTGACAAGTTCATACCTGTTGAGCCAAGCGATGAGCCCCGATTGCCATAGTCACAGAAAGGACAGTGGGCATGGCAATTGGAATTCCTCCAATCAGAAGCACCAACAGATTGTCAATTCCTGGTCTGTAACCCCTGTGTTGGATCGGGTACATGACGATAAGCTCCACGATCATTCCCACAGCAATTGAACAGATGCAAAAGTTCCCTATGGCAGTGAGAACCTGGATAGTGAAAACAACCAGTGTTCGTCACGTCATAAATTTGCCAATGAAGAAATTAAGCAAGTTCTGAAAAGCAGGATTAGAAGCTTGCCTTCTGGAAATGACCAACTTGGTTTGTTGAATCGACAAGATGTGCTGCCTTGCCAAAGAATGTGTGCACACCAGTGGCAATGACAACGGCCTCAATCTCGCCCTGTTTGCAAGTGGAGCCAGAGTACACTCCATCACCAGGGCCTTTGGTCACTGGAAGGGACTCGCCGGTGAGTGCAGACTGCAATCAACTCAAAAGTCAGAAGAAACACAATTTAATGCCAGCCCAATCCATATAGAGAGCAGCAACTTCAATTTGCATTACCTGATCAATTTTCAGTGGATCCCCTTCAAGCAGACGAGCGTCAGCTGGAATGATATCCCCAAGCTTCACACTGATGATGTCCCCTGGCACAAGGATAGCTGATTCCTCCTCGGTCCACCGGCCATTTCTGAGAACCTTTTATCACGGCAAAACCGGAATCAGTATGCTCTACAGACAAACAACACAGCGCTGCAACCACACAGCAAACGAGATCCTGTCAGTACCTTGGCCTTGGGGGCGAGGCGGGCCATGAGAGCAGCGGCGGCATTGCCGGCATTGTTCTCCTCAATGAAGCTGATTGTGGAGTTGATGATGAGCAGAGTGATGATCCCCACGAAATCCTGCCAGTCGGGCGGCTTGTTCTGAAAAAAAAACAGCGGAAACACACATCAAAACCTCTGAACCCAGTCTCCAGAACGCCTCTGCCATGTCCACAGGGTGTGAAAGTTCAGTACTTACTCCCCCATTCGCGAGCGCGATGGCCATGATGGCGGCCGCCTCCATGACCCAGGACAGCGGGTTCCACATGAATCCCAAGAACTTGAAGATCTTGCTCTCCTGCAGTCACACAGACAGACACACACATACTCCATCATGTAAGCTTCGCGTCACGCTAGACTGATGAATGAACAGGAACACAAACGCATGAGCCGAGCCAAGGCGGCGGATTCGGATTCCCTCACCTGCTTCTCCTCCAGCTTGTTGGGCCCGAAGATGGCGAGGCGCTGCTCGGCCTGCTCCGTGGAGAGACCCTGCGGGCTGCATCGCAGGTTCTCGAACACCTCCTCGATCGGTATGTTCTCCTGCGCAGGCGCAAGAACACCATTGCGGCAGAGGAGGGATCAGGCAACAGATAAGAACCAACAAAATAAAAGCGTGTAAGAAGATAAAGAATTGGTGCGGTGAAGCGGCGCGCGGAAAACCACAAAAAAAGCAGAAAGAACGGGGGAGGAAAAAAAACAACAAAAGTAACCAGCGGAGAGCAACTGGGAAGAACTAAGAAGAACCTGGGCCGAGCGTAACCGCAAGGAGATCACTCAATCGAAGCGCCGAATCGACCAGTGCCCAGTGGGTGGGTGGGGGGCAAGCGGGAGCGAATCGCGGCCGCCGACGAGATCACGGAGTCCCGCCAAGATCGAGGCGGGGGCACGAACGGGAAGAAGAGGGAGTAGTACTAGTTCACCGCCAGCGGCAGCCGGCAGGGCACCAAAACGGCAAAACCCCATACATCCGGCCGCACCCTCGCAAACGAAAACGCACACCAAAAAAAAATCCGCGGAACGAGGGATGCAGGCACGGCACGAACCGGGCACCGAGCAGAGCAGAGCAGCAGCGCCCGGCGCCGCGCTGGACACCCACGGCACGAGGCCAAAGAAGCAACCGCGAGAGCAGGAAAAGGCAAGCAAAACGGGGAGAGAGGGAGGGAGGGCAGGGATCAAGAGTGGCGCGTACGAGATCGACGGCCTCCTTGAGCACGGCGTCCAGGTTGGACGCCTTGTCCTCCATCCTTCCTTCCCCTCCGCTCGGCAGGCGGCGTCCCGGAGAACCCGGAGCTCGGTTTCGCAGTGCCGCGTGCAGGCGGGCCGGCAGCAGGCGCGGGGCAGGCTGGCGACTGTCGGGCACGGCACACCACGAAGCGCAGGTTGGCGCGGCCGCACGCCCCTATATAGTAGGGGCAGGGCCACGGCTGCAGGGGGAGGGGACGGCGAGCGAATCAGCGTGGGGGTGGGATCTTTCGCAGGCGGTGGGCGACTGCCGTGGAGACCGGGCTGGAGGACAGGAGGTGGGGTGAGTGGGTCCGGATCCGGTGTGGGCTCCAGCCGTGTGGCGTCCGCTGTGGCCGTCCGTCTGTCTGCGTCTCCCCTACCTCGCTAGACGCTACAAGCGGTGCGGGCCGCGGGTGAAAGTGAAAATGCAGGAGACGAGAGGGGTGGATGGATGGCTCTCGGTCTTTTTCTTCTTCTTCTTTTTTACTTTTTCACTCTGGAGACACCTTTAGTTCGGATTTGAGACACAAACTAGGACTACCTTTAGTCCGGGTTTATGTCTCAATCCAAGACTAAAAGTCATACTTTTAGTCCGGATTCGTGTCTCAAACCAGAACTAAAGCCTCCTGCACTAACACGTCTTGGTAACCGTTACAACCGGGACTAAAAGGTGGAATTAGTCCCAATTTATATTAGAAACCGAGACTAAAGGTCCAATGCCTCCTTTAGTCTCGGTTTACAGTTTGAAACCGGGACTAAATATTTTCACCATCGACGAAATGTCGTTTCTCTAGTGTTTCTAGAACCGTAGTTTTTACTATGCACCTTAGACACATTGTATATCTAGATCTAGGTACATAATAAAAGCTATGTATCTCAAAAAGTCAAAACAAGTTACAATTTGAAATAGAAAGAGTATATAACTCTACAATGACCAAGCTATATAGTTGTGGGTACTAAAGAACCAATTATTAGAATCAAATTTTCACCATGGCTATAGCTCAAGTGCCTACACTAAAAAGATAAGCGTATTCTGCTCCAGTTTGCTCTCACTTTACCACTATATAATAAGTACTCCATCCGTTCCAAATTATAAGTCATTTCAACTTTCTTAGAAAATCAAAACATCTCAAGTTTGACCAAAATTATAAAACAAATTACAAATATTTATAACATTAAATAGATATACTATAAAATATAATTAATGAAGAATCTAATAACACTTATTTTGTATCATAGATGTTATTATTTTATTATATAAATTTGGTCAAACTTAAAATATTTTGATTCTTCAAGAAAGTTAGAATGATTTATAATTTGGGATGGGAGAAATATAAAACTACAGAAGAAAAGTGTTGCTTGATGCCAAACAGGTAGCCACACAATCAGCACCTTGTGTTGATTATAATTAGCGTAGGTAAAGTACTGTGCGCATGTGTTGTGTACTCCCACCTGTACCAAGATGCGCCCCATCCATCATGCTGCAGGCCACGCATTCCCACGTAGAAAAATGGCACATCATGATCCATGCTCCTGAAGTTGTGATCCTGCTCGGATCGCAATTTCGTAGCATCCAAAGAGGGCGGAGAATATTTTATCACATGGCCCGATCCCGTTCGGCTGTCAGAATTTTAGTTGAAACTAACTAAAAAACACTGTTCTAACTGAATTGTTGTGAGAGAAAAACACTGTTTCGACTAAAAAAAAGAAGCCGAATAAACTAAATATAGGATAAGCCAAACAGGGCCAAAAGAGCCTCTTGTGCATGTAAAGCGTAGACTATTTTCTCCTTAAATATAAAGTTGATTAATTAGAATGTCTTTTTTTTTCAAGGATCATATTTGAGGGTTTGTTTAGATCCACTTTTCTAAACTTTAGAGCTAAAATTTCTAAACGGATGGTCTAAAGTTAGTGACATCGTAGTGCTGCAACTAACGCCATAAGTGGAGCGAATGTGTTGCTTTGAATCAATCAGACCTGAAAAAAAGTTTCAGGTTTGTATTTATCAAACACGGCATCATTTCTTGAGAGCCAAATAGACCAACAGAGAACCACCGGCCCCGTTAGAAATAAAAAACTTGTTTTCCTTCGCTCCATGTTTATACGAATCACCAAAACAAGTTCTCCGTATTTAAAGGTGGAGTGATACCAAACACAATACGCAACGCTGGCCCAAAATAATAGCACAACGACACTCAATGAAGAGATGTTGAATAGTCTACATATGTTAATACGAAAACAACAGTAATAAGTATACCCATGCCAGTTCCTTCTAGCTAAATTATGTTTTTGTTAGTAAAACCACAAAAAGAGTTTAGTTTCCAAGGGAAGTTTCCTTTGAGACCTTAATGCCACTGATAGTAACTAGTAGGTATATATTGATGCATTTAACGAGCTGCGAAAGAACCGTCCTTATTCAAAGGCCAAGGACGTCTTTGGCAGGGCTCCTGCTGAGGCGGCTCCAGCTCCACGTGCTGTATCTTCCTGTAGCATCAGCAAACTGGCTCCGGCTCCTCCTATCTTTGTCTCTGGAGCTAGCTGAGCTGCCTTTCCCTGCCTCCTCTGGCTCCACGCCACAACGCGCTATAGGGCAAGAGCCCGAGCCGGAGGAAGCCAGGCCAAACGGGGCCCAAGTAATAGTGTCTTTTTCCATCATGTGATTCCCATAAAGCCTGCGACAAGAGAAATGCCTTTCTGAAGGAAACATTTAGGGATTGTTCATTTAATGTGGAATAGTTGCCCTGGAATTATTCACGCTGGAATGATAAGCTTATTTATACTAATATAGATTAGGTGGAATAGTTTCGAGCCTCAAAACCAGCCAAACGAACGAGGCCTTAGAGGTAACATGCTAAAGACATTTGTAATCATAGCTTGTGTGTCTTACGAACTAACTACGACAGGACGTTGAAAAGGCTTGGGAACCTGTTTTTGAGAGGTTGATTCCCTAACCATATTGATCTTTCCAAGATCTTGAGTTGGTTACTAGTATTCCCTAACTATATTGAGCTTTACTAAGGGCCTGTTTAGTTTCCAAAATTTTTTACGCAGTACCCGTCACATCAAATCTTGCGGTACATGCATGGAGTACTAAATGTAGACGAAAAAAAACTAATTGCACAGTTGGGTGAGAAATCACAAGACCAAACTTTCGAACCTAATTAGTCCATAATTAGACACTAATTACCAAATACAAACTAAAGTGCTACAGTAGCCAAAATCCAAAAATTTTTACATCTAAACGCGCCCTAAGTTACTATACTCTATACAGCTGCGCAACAATCGTACAGAAAGTAGCTGTGGAGATGCTCCTGCCTGAACGGAGCCGCGTGGCCACATTTGGACCAAATGCATGCGTTGAACCAGCACGGAACGGAGAACCGGCCGCCGGCATCAGGGCCGGCGTATATGCCGCCTGGCGCGCCGGCCGCCGGCGATACCCAGACGACCCCGGCACGCACTACTACGCTGGATTCCACGTCGTGCCGTGGCGGCACGCCACTTGTACGGGCCGCGGGGGACAACCCATGTACGGACGGATGAGCAGGGCCGCTAATTAACAACCGATCGAGCGGGCCGCGCTAGCTGCCGATGTCGTGAAATGGGCAGGGCGTGGGTGGCTGTGTGTGGGGACTGTACGGAAGTGGGGTACGGGTCCGTGATCTACGGCCGGGTGTCTCTGGGCCGACGATGAGATTCTTCTGCTTGGTGTTGGTTCGGGCCTGCTTTTTGGCTGGTCATTAAGCTACTCCCCTACTACATGCTTAATTAGGCCAGTGAATGAGAAGTTGCACATCTGTCATCTGTGAATGTGGCAGTACAACTACAAGATCGAGCAGCTTGGCAGACTCACTGGAGGAAGGACGGGGACGGTGTGTCTGGTGTTTGCCGCCGGTGCCGGTGGAGGGACACGGCCACATGGGCTGGCTCATGGACAGTCGAGTCCGGCACACACAGGCTGGCTGCTGTTGTCCGCAGAGGATCCGGCGACGGCGACGTGTGGGAAGGTGAGGCGGGTACAAGCGGCGGTACGGTTCCGTAGGCCACACCCCCCGGGCGCGTCCGCATCGCGCGCACCGCCCACGGGCCCACCGAGATCTTCTGCGCCGGCGTGTGTGGCTCGCAGTCGCGGTCCCCACCGCCCAACAACGCCGGATTACACGAATCTTCTAAAAGCCACGCCTGCTACGAATTAAGCCACGTACTTGTACTCTCTGTTGCACGGCTGCCGTGCTGCTAGTTACAGTACGTGTGCTCCTGCTTCCACCTCCACACCATTTTCTCTTCGAGTCCTTTTCTATATCTGATATAGATAGAAAATATCTACATCTAGTAGTTATAGACTCGAAGATACTAGTAATTCGTATATAAATAAATAGAATCTATTTGCCTGGAATCCGCATGTTACATATAGCAGAGCAAATAAGCACCATGTTCGTTTGATCGTATCAGTCATGCTTATCAGCCATGATATAGTGTTTTTCTCTTATAATAAATCAGCATCAACCAACTTATAAGCCACAGAAACGATCAAGCAAAGTGGGTGAAGATTGGTGATCATGCATCTTGCCAAAAGTATGGCCGAGATTGCGTGAGTGAGTGCGTGTGTTTGATTAGGTTTTGGAAGGAAAAAAAACTAAAACTGGGCTGAGTTTCCTTCAGCCTCGTAAACATCCTTTTCGGAGACTTTCGATCAGGACGGAGACGGACGACCGGCATTTCTGAAGAGAGGGGCGTGGAACGAATCGATCCCCATCTTGTTGGAGCCAGGAGCCACTCAGCTGTTTGGTGGATCGCTTCGCGGAAGTTTCGTAAATAAATATCGAAGTGGTCAGGACGGACCGGACCGGCGTCGGCGTTTCTGAAGAAGGCCGGGGTTGGCCGTTGGCGTGGAATCTCGAAATCGATCCATCCCCGTCTTGTTGGATCGTTGCAATCTAGGTAGAGTTGTCAGTGCGTACGCAGATAAGTAGTGATATATTGTTGCAAAAAAGAGTACACAAGGCTGTTTTAATTACG